AAACTGTGTAGAGGAAGACTCCCCCTATCCGATGAAATTGATGGCTTACATGGAATGACTTTGAACTACAAGAAATATACGAAAGAAGCCATTGTTTACGTTTTTGACATTGGTCCTTATGAATGCACAGTGTCGATATCCCGACAATTTTGTTTGACAGATCGATGGCCAACTATACCAGTTATACCACTGAGGCAACACAAAAAAGGGGTCAACTTTTAGAAAGTTATTTTGCATGCAGTTCTACATATGTTATGTGCAACCGTTCCGATTCAAATTTCGGACGATTCAAATTTCGGACACTTTCATTTTTAATTAAATATTACATCCAGTTAGAAACAAAGTAATAATGTTAGATGATCGTGGAGGGCACTAGTCAAAAAAAATTTAAAATTTACAAGACATGTGGATCATATTCGACCGAGATAATCAACTTTTAAAAGTGTCCGAAATTCGAGTTTAAGTGTCCGAAATTTGAATCGGCACGGTACTTCACAATCTTAAATTAGAACTGATCCTCTATACCTAATTAACACTTACCAAGGAGTCGGATTTTCCCTTTGATAAACTATGAATTTCAGAAAAACATATTTGAACCAAGGTTGTTCCGGATGCGATGTATTGGGACATCTGCAGAAACGGATGTTGTCTTCTGAGGTCTGCAGATACGGATACGTAAGCGAATGCTCAAATTCTGATTAATAAATAAATAGTGTTTGTCATGGGAAGTAGGAATCACAATTATGGGGTAGGACATTGGTTGGGAGTGAATGACTACGACCGTCTGCGTGTATGCAGATTACACATTATTTATACTCATACGCGAGATATAGGATTGATAGGCTATTAATATTGCGCTCTCATAGCACCACTGATAAGCAGATAGGAGAATAACAAGTCAGTTACCCAGTTACGGTACCGATCGACCGTGTGATTACGTCGTGTGTTAAAATATATACAGTCCACTTTGTGTAATAAACGCGTTTTACAGTTATTCGGAGTGTAAATAAAATAATTTCGAGTGATCATATCACCGGTGATTTGGGTTACCTTCGAACGAAGTGACGTTTGTGCAAATAACTACAGTGTTATTAAAATATATAGGTATTTACGAATGTTTCGGCTATGTTGACTGACTGGTGAGCTTAAATGATAACTTTTAACGGCATTCGGCATTTCAGAAACTACCATTTTAACTCGCCAGACTCACTGGATAGCTGAAACTCTCGCAGATCACTTATCAAAACATTATCTATACAAACTACGAAAAAGACATGTAAATTTAATTGCCCTGAGACCGACACATGCAAGTAGCCCTTTTGACATAAGAATCAGTTGAAAAGGACGAGAAAATCAATTCATTCAAATGCACTTTTCGTCGAGTTGCTTATGTTTCAGTTTCAGGAAACTTAATTTTACATGCCATGTTTGTTTAAGTTCCATGATGTACGTCAAAGCTGAATTACATCTCGTGTAAAAATAATAATTTCTAAGTGTGTAGATACGGACTCAAAATCAGATATTTCTTAGCAAATTAAATGACGTTGGTTGAGCACTGAAAGGTGAAAGAAAGGACATTTTGTTCGTATGACAATTAATTTATTTAAAATGTTCTCACAATACCATTCCAATACCAAAATATGATAAATCAATACCAAAATACCAACCAGGTATTATTTTGATATCCAAATATCAATAGTTGGTATTTACAAAGTATTTTTCATGTATTTTTTTGGTATTATTCTTTGGTATTTTACCTTTTATGTCATGCTGGTCAATACCAAATTTTGGTATCAGATCAGAATTAGGTATTCATTAGTTATTTTCTCCTGGTCGGGTTGCTATGTTATGATGAATTGGTACATGATTTCAAAGGATAATTTTGATCTGAACAGACAAAAGTTCTGAATTTGACTGGTGATATAAACTTCCATGTACGTAAACATCCTTTTCACGTAAAATAGAAACTTGCAAGAAATGTTGCTAACAACGATGAACGGTTGCATAGAATATTTGGAATATTTCATGAGATGTCTCATAACTTTAAACTATCTTTAATATAAATAATGGCTCTCAATTAATAACTGTGGAAGTGCATCTAGAACACTAAGTTGATAAGCTAATACGCGATATGCATTAAGCTTGAAATGCGAAGAAGAAACATAAATTTAATATTTATTTATTTCATTTGACAACCCAATGCACGCACGGTGCCTTTGTTAAGAATAACATGACAACATAAAAATCTACATTCCCAAAACTTTCGAAAGCGGGGAAGTTTCCCGTCAATTTGAAACTATTTATGAAATGTTTCAAAGGGGCCACTTTTTCATACAATGTGGATTAATTTGAGCGTTAATTTTTATGGATCCGGAAATAGATGATTGATGCCATTTCAGAATTACAAAAAAAAAAACGAAAGGTTCCATCTTGTATTCTAAAATGGCATCATCATCCATTTTCGGCCTCTATAAATAATCATAGTCCTGAAATTACGCATATTGTAAGGTATTTGACACTTTTCACAAACCGGAAGTCGCCATATTTTGTTCCGTTTATTTTCCGTTATTTTGTTTTGTTCCATCATCTATTTCTGGCCACTAAACGTCGTCTTCGTTCCTTAAATACCAATATTATTGGGTAGTTGCCTCTTTTCACAAACCAGAAGTCGCCAAAATGGATTCCAAAATGACGTCATATTTCTGGCCTGTACACGCCGCCCAATTCCGAAAATATCCCTACAATTGCGGTATTTAAATATTGGAAGCGATGTTTATCCAAAATGGTGACTGCCTGTTTTTTTTTAAATCTAAGATGGTGACTTCTGGTTTGGGAAAAACTGTATAATACCCTATAATATGAGTATTTTTAGAATGAAAATGACATGTAGAGGCCAGAAATTTGAAATCCAAGATGACTGCTCCCGGTTTTTTTAGATCTATGATGGAGTCTTTCGAATTAAGAAAACTTTCAAATACCCAAAAATATGGGTGTTTTTAAAACGAAAAAATATATTAGAGATCGGGAATAGATTATAGACGGTATTTATTAATCAAAGATGGTGGTTTCCGGTTTTATAAAAACTGTGAAATTCTCAAAACATGTTTTATAACAGGGACGACTTACAAAGGCTGAAAATCACTGATTGACGTCTTTTAGATTTCCAACATGGAATTTTCCGTATTTAGAAAAACTTGACTCAACTTCATCCTCTCTTCAAAATTGACTTTTGAATATGCAATCGTTGACTTCATAAATTGAGAACACCCATTCTCCTTAATCCATGAAAGTAACTTTTGTAAACAAAATTTGCTAATCGAAATTCGCCCACGCAAACCACTCCTACCAGATGATTTTGTCGGTTTGCGTGGGCGTATTTCGGTTCGTGCATATATATTCTAGCAAGTTTTGTTTACAAAAGTTGATGTTCATTTGTTGATCAAAGAATCGAATGACTTGATTTGTTTCCTTATTCAAAGATTACATTAAAGATTGTACATATCTTTATTGCGAATCATCAAATGGACATAGGACATATTAAAAAAGGACTTCGCGACAAACTTTACACTTCGTGGACTGATCTATTCAACTTGAATGCTTTTGCTTTCAAATCGATTTCAAGGTATGACACAAAAGCTCGGAAAATTTGACTCAGCATCAGCCAGTTAACGAGGCTTTGGCGATTTTGAGTGAACTAAACTCAAATTAGAGTTAATCTCATTGGCCGTGTCCAAATTACTCAGTTTTACAAAAAGTGTACCGTGAACCCCTGTTAGTATGAACGACACTCCGTACATATTACCGGGGTTCATTTTTAATTTGAACTTTTAGTTTTAGAAAAGTGAGATTCGGGTATCCTCATTTTCTGTTTTGTGTTGATTCTGCATTCTGTTTCAGGAATTGAATTAAGTATAGATACTGTGACCATGTTACAATTGTTATATATCAATGGAGACGCATGGTAGTCTAGTCGCATAGGAGTATTGAGTGAAAACCCAAAACTTGATAACTTCAAAAAATATAACCTAAAAACGAAAAAAAAACATCGCTGATTTTTTTATATGTTATGGAAAAAAGCCTACATTTTCAAGAAAAATTATAAAACCATATTGTGACCTCTGTCTATAAACCAAGAAAACCATAAGAAAAAAAAAACAAATACTATCACTGTTTTTCAATACAAAATCCCACTAATAAATGGCTACTTTAATCTACTTCATTTGATTCAAATGCGAATGTGTCCAAAGTAGCCCCCGAATCAAAAGCAGCCTTCCACGATGGTACCGAATTTGATAATAAATAAATCAGCCATATATCCAATAATAAATTTACGAATAACTGTGATTTGCATTATTCGGCCACACTGTCAAATCTTTGCATGAATGTCGTGGAGAATTACTTACTAGTACTTACATTTACATTTACATTTACTTACGGTATCTTGGTGTTGATTTGCTTGATCTATGTAATTTAAATGGAAGGACCAAAAACTGGTACCATTGCGTAAATAGTATATTGCTAAAATTGGTGCATATGCCGATACGAGCTAATTTGTTCTATTTAATCACAGATATTTCTGATTATTTTTCAACAAGTGCAATATTTTCTTTTGTTGCGGGGTGTACGAATTATATATATATATATATATATATATATATATATATATATATATATATGCCAATGTATTATGCATGAACACAATAATGAGAAAGGTCATGCTTTCATTCTCAAATTTGTCAGTTTCATTCAGGAAAAGTCGGATCATAGAATAATACTCTATATACACCAAAAAATTAAATTTTAATATTGACCTATTCGTAATTGTTATCCACATGAAGAGACATAATACATAAATGTGACGATACTATAAGTAACAGATGCTTCTCTACTAAGAAAATCTCTGTAATGCGATTACCCCAGTCTGTTATCCTGAGCATGCATTTAATTAACACCATGTTTTAGCTTCTTAACATATTCTTTCCATATTCATTATTTCACAGGTGTACTAATACTGGTCCTTGCATATACAGCAGTGGGCTCGGTGCTGTTCGTGACATTGGAAGGCGACGGCGACGAAAGCGATATGATCGAAAGCTCGGTGGCAGCATCCAAACCATATCCTAGACACGATGTAGTTAGTACAGAACTAAGATTAAAGTAAGTTGATATTTCAATGCAATCTTCACTGCTCACATCATCTTTTTTTATTAAATAGTTTATATAACATAGTACAGCGTTTCTCGATCTATAAAACACGACTCAATGGTTGCAACAAATATACTATACCAATAATATAGTTAACTCTTCTCTTTTCCATACACCACGTGGAAGACAGAAACTTCCTGCTCCACACCACCTATTGTTAGAAAAGGCAACCAACATGCATTTGGCTACAGTCGAGGGGAGAGTTAGTTTGAATTATTATACATACAATTATACAATTTTAATAATACAATTTTATTAAAAAATTTGTGCACATTGATTAAACATGTAGATACTTATGGGAGCACGATAAAAATTGTTTGAACAGTTTTGTTTTAATCTTATGATGTGACTTTGAAACATCCCTTGAATTTTTTAGAACACATTAGTTGCCTTTTCTAGCGGAAAGGCGCACTTTTTGGCTGAAAATCATGTCTCTAAAGAAATAAAAGACTGAACTATATTGTTCATATAATATATTTCGTGGCAAGATGCTTTTAAGTGAGTCACCAAGATTTTGGAAACTAAGATTAATTCACTATTGATCAATGTTTAAGAAAGTAATTTTCAAAACATGTGTAATAGTAAATTTTCATTTGATTCAAATTTAGTTAAAAAACACCAATTATTAATTCATAAAATTGCTTTGAATTACTTTTAATTAACTTCTGTGTTTCAAAATAACTAATCAAATTCTAAAGCTGATAAACGATCAGGAACAAAATTCGGCAGAAAAACAGGAACAAAATTTGGCAGAAAACAAAACGCATCGAGAAAACTCCTCAGCAGACGGTGGCGGACAATCAAATTTCCCAATCAGGGTATCAAAACACAAGAGCAAGCAACAAGCATTGACAAATCTCTTGTGATGATTATCATGAGAAACTCTATCTGCAGACTGCAACATAAGATTAATCGGAACGGTGGAAGTGCTAAGTACTAAATCGTATTTAAGGACAAGATTGCCAGAATAGATAAACCAGGAATCAATTAACCTATACTGAACCAGCAATCCATGAATTTCAAAAATCAATGTTTTTATTTGTATACTGTTAAAAATAGTGGTGGGTTGACGGTTTCACTCTCTGCATAAATGTAGCGATGTATCTTTCATGCATGATTAACCAGATCGAACAGAACTTGTTATTGTTTTTCAGTGAATGTCAATTACATTCACTGAAAAACTATAACAATTTCAGCCCACTCTAGTTCGTCATGCATAAGAGATACAGAATTGAGTTATTTACATCAACGAAAGAGCAAACATGAAAGCCAACAAAAGATTCAAACATCATTTTACGGCATTCTGATGATGGAAAAGTAAAAGGCAAATGAATATAAGTAACTGCACGAAATGAATGTAAATGATTTTGCATTCCTGAACAAAGGTATTTTAATTGGGTTTTACATTAAATTTCGTGTAAAATTACGCCAAAGCTAGCATTAATAACGTGTGTGGAATATTCACATGATTTATCGCGAAAGTTCACATGAATTTTCCATACGATGTATCAAAAATATCGGATAATATTCTTATATATCTTACCCTTTGCTTACCATGCTTTGAGCAAAGGTAAATTATGTACTACGTATGTGAAATTCCAAATGGAAATTTTCAAACATCATACAAAATGAATATAGCTCCTGACAATGCTTTATTATAAGATAAATCTAATTAACCGTACATGTCGATTTACTTTAGTGTAGCGACTGACACACAAAAAAAACAATACACAGAAGAAAAAAATTTGAATTTTAACTGTCGCGTAAAATCACCTTTCGTTTAATTTTTAACTATAGTTGACATAAATATCAAATTTACAAGCTTCTTACGAATATTGCAGATTTATGCAATATTGCGTTTCATTTTACATTAGATATCGTGTAAAATTACGCCAAATCTTGCATTAATAGCACGTGCCTTATAAATCGCAGAAATTTAAATGATTTTTTCATATGATGTATAAATAAACTGGTGATCGACTCCACCGATCCACAGGACGATACTTTGTCAAACAGTAAAAATATCAACCTTTTAGTTTTTAAATACTAGCTGGCGACAAGTTTTTCACTGAGATCCAACAAAATAAAATATCGAGCTGCTCGCCCATCTCGGCTAAAAATTCTAAGTGTGTGAAACCAAATGGATTCCTGAGCCTATTATTCGTCTCATATACCATTCCAATACAAGCCAACATACATACACCCAAAACAAATGTCACTTACGTCCAATGTAAGGTTGGATTGATTACATCCTCTGCATATATTTTATACAGCAAATAAATTGTAGTTCTTGCAATGGTTTTCCATAATATATTTTTGTGTAAAACCTTCACGCGATGATTTTCTAGACGCAATGCGTTTGAGGAAACATACTTTGTTCGAAAAATAAGATGACATAAAAGTTACAAAATTATTTCAAAAACCTTCCAGTGACCATATTACTGAATCTGTTCATGTCGAAAAACATTACAAATTCTGCATACTTTTTATGCAAATCTGTTATAGAATATTACATTTCGTTGTTCGATGTACACCATAAGCATAACAGTACCATATGGATTTTTACCGGAACACCATTAGCCATGGTACTAAAAATCTCACTAATAAAGAAAAAAAAATGACGGAAATTAGTTATCCATTCGAGTTGACTGTAAACTACCGGCGTTGTATATTGTACACAAAAAGTTAAATGGTTTGTCCCATCCATAAGAGCATGTGGAGGAATAAATTGTGTTTTTCTCGGTTTAATCCTGGCCACAGCTTAAGTCAATAATATTGAGTCCTGGTTGGGCTTACGAAGAAGCTAGTGGGATATTGGGTTCGGGTATTACCTATATTCTAGCAGGACTGTAGAGTGGTTTTAGCATATCTGTTTCTACGATATTATGCTGGACGTCATCACTTTTCCACGTTCGATCAGTTGAGAGACTATTACTTAGTCAACTTATTCAAACTATCGTTTAAATTTCTATTCGACCACTTATTTTTAGTTTTTGAAGAGCACTTCTTGTAGCTACCACGACTAGAGCGGAAAAGACCTATCTCCTGCGAACGTGAATCCAGAACCGTAATGCACCGAAATTCAGACACTTAACGGGTGTTCAATAAAAAATGAGAATTTTTTTCAGCTAGTAACAAAAATTTTCAACGAATTCAGTATTTTTTTATTAAAAACATAATGTTTATTCTTCAAAAATCGTCAATGAATATTGGAGAAGGGGCCCTGGTCAGCCGTACGACGCAACTTAGACGTGAAGTTCTCACAAGAGCGCTGGAAGGCACTGAAATCATTCTCATTTTTTATTGAACACCCGTTAGTCCAACAATCCGGACACACAAAAAGCTATTAATTAGCCCAACTACGATTCAAATGCCACTAAAACATTATTATTATGCTATAGTGTCATCCATGTTCATCAAACATAGTTATAATGTTGCATTTATTACTCCTTTTTGGGAGGCTCATTCTTCGCAACAGACCTTTTTTTGCTCCCACGTAGCATTTTTAGTATGTTTGAATTGAGTGTACTATATAGTTTACAAGCTTTGTTCTTGGTTTCGTTTTCCATCGGGTTTTAATTGATTTTAATTTTTTCTTAGAGTGCATGCTATTGTTTTCTATTCTTAGCTATTAGTCTATTTTAACATTATTGCATAGATATATAAATAACAATAATTCCATCAACATAACTCAATAACATTTAGCATACAAATAAATTTTTATTAAACAAGCAAGTATATCATACCCCACCGGTAACATGTTTTTGGTTCCGACAGCTAACCTGCGTCTAGATTTCCTTTTAATCAGACTATAAATCAAATCTTCACAAGTCCTTTGTAAATTCGTTTTACACAGCTCGTTTTTCCAGGAGCTTGTTACCTTGGAGTCAATCTTCTTGTTTAAGAAGAAAACCTGGGTTTTTCGTCCTCAACTGCAAAGCCCTTGCCAGATGAGTTTTGTTGCAAATTTGTGAACGAAATCACATCTCCTAGAGGAAATTTTAAATGGTTTGGGCCATTTCAACGTTTTCGAGAATTTTAGAGCTGACCACGACAGATTTTTGACGTGGCGCAAGATCTATTTCCATCGCTCGTCTTCCACCTGGCGCATATTAGAAAAGAACTGAATGAACGTGACGACTTTAAGCACTGAAAGAGAAAATCTTTCCAAACAAACTGCTTATATAAAATAAACTGTGCTTCCGTATTCTAACTGGACCATACTTTATCATTCAAGCTGGAACTGGACGATAAAATCGTTTATAACCGGAGCATCGAAAAAAAAGCCTGAGTAGAATCTCATAGCACATAGACCTCAGTCAATTATTTCAGAGCGTATTTTTTGCTATTTTCATTCTGAATTAATTCTTCTGATAATGAAACTTATTCATTTGTTCATAATACACACATCAATAAGCATTAACTCTTAAAAATATGATAAATTAACAAATCTTAAACACAATACAATAGTGTAATACATATTTCTCGAACCATGAGCTTTTTTTCACATGTGATTTAATTACTTCTACTTGATTGCAGTTCAACTAAAGCTAAACGGTGAATATGATTCCGGATCAATTTAAACATTTTCTCTATTTCTCTATTTAAATTTCTAGCAGTAGTCAAAGAAAAGTCGGTGTTGGGCAAGCTTAAATTTCTCGAAGATCATATAAAGCAATGAGATTTGGCACAATCATTAGCACAACACTGTAGCAATCTATTTAAGCTCTCAACGTCCGTAGTTTGTAGTGCGATCGAACGAATATCTGCTGATAACACTTCCGTTTTTAATTGCTTCTACACTCATTTCGTTGTTTCTCATGCCGGTGTAGTTTTGCCAATTGCCGATAAACTGGTTCTTCCGTTCAAAGTTTTAGTTTTAATTAAGATTTCTCTGCGAGCAAGTTTTCTGCTGCACGAAAATTTCGTTAAACAGATAATGAAAATCTGTAAGAAACACACAAAAAAGGCAGGAAATGCATTTTTCAGCAATTAGAGTTTAGAGCTTGTTCGTTTGCCCTCGACTGCCAATGGGTGCAAAAATTTCTCCACAAACTCTCGTTAACAACCCACAAACAACAACTTTTGCCAGACGAATTTGTGAACACTTTTTGAGGTTCTCCTTTGCTCTTTTCTTTCCTTTCTTGCAGAACTGTAGATCGGCTGTGGTCTATTACGGAAGACCTAAACATATTATACAAGGAAAATTGGACAAGACTGGCGGCCCAGGAAGTGCAGCATTTTCAGGTACTTACAGAAAAACTTTTCAATTACCTACCCCGATCCCCATAAGTCCCAAACTTGCATGTTCACAATGTCAATGTGTACTGCTGCTGAACAAGAATCACATGGATATATTGGAATAAGTTGCTCCCCAGGGAAAACCACGTACCATTTTTCCATTTCCGTTCCAGTAATGGCTTCATTTCTTTTGCAAGTTTACATTAGCGCGTCTATCCGTTCTACTTCTTAAGTGTTGACGAAGGATTCGCTACCCTCGGGCTGTTGTTGACCACGTCCTGTTGGGGTGTGTTTGTTTTTTTATCGCTCTCCCTGCCATTAGCCGCGCGATAGCCATGGAAAAAGTTTAGATGTGTTCACCGATGACGATAATATTGCAAGCGCCTCCGGCATTGCAGTATGTTTTATTTCCCGAGCACGATTTTGGTATAAAATAAATTTTATGCTCCATTTCCAGCAGGTTTTTTTTTCTTTATCAAAATCCACTATATGAGATTTATCATCACGAAACTAACAGTCTGTGAAAATGAATTTGCGAATGTGAAGATGTTGCTGTTTACTGCTAATGAACATTTAGTCATAAATTTTATGCAGATGAACAATAGGGTATATGTGCCAGTTTGTGTAGAATTCGATTTTTCATTAATATTCCTGTTATATTTACTGTAAAGGTAATGGCTTTTAACTTTTCATTAAAATTACTACAGGATTGATGAAAATTTCGAGCTTGCATTTCTGTAGGCTATAAATGGAATAGTGATCCTAAACAAAATGTATATACACAGCAAAAAAATAATTTTGATATCACGTCAAAGTGGATGCACTACAATCATGTCGAAAATATGGTGTAATATTACTTGCTAAAAAGGACAAAATTATCATTAATACAATGCATGAACTGACATTACGCTGCTTTTACTGCATTTGTTTATTTATGTGGTCATAAAAATTACATGAAATTTTCGACATGATTGTAGTGCATACACTTTGATGTGATATCAAAATTATTTTTTTGCTGTGTAATGTACCATTTCAACTTTGGGAAATTTGAGATCTTTTTTTGGTATTTGAGCGACCCAAAAAATTTTCAACTTGTGTTTTGCTGATTCAAATAAAAAACCTAAGGTGAGACCTCTTGACCCCTCTTATTCCTAAGAAGATTCAGAAAGATGAGTGTGGTCGTGTGAACCCCATACCCGAGTATACTAGAATATAAAATCAATAACAAGTTTTATGATGAAAATTGGTAAACAGAACATCTAAACATCTGAAGAACTAAAATATAAAAAATAATATCAGAAAATCAATGGGAAAATAACTGAGTAATAGCAAAGTCAGTTGTTCACAGGAAAAAATAAATTAGAATATTACATCCAAGAGGATGCACTTCAATCATGTCGAAAATCTCATGTAATTTTTATGGCCACAAAAATAAACAAATGCAGCAAAAGCAGCGTAATGTCAGTTCATGCATTGTATTAATGATAATTTTGTCCTTTTTGGCAAGTAATATTACACCATATTTTCGACACGATTGAAGTGCATCCACTTTAATGTGATATTAAAATTATTGTTTTGCTGTGTTGCTATATCGAAACAATGCTATCATATATGCGACAGTTAGAAGATACTGAGAAGTTAGCACATATCATCGGCAAGAGACGTGCGTGTGAGAAAATTTGCGAGAAAATCTAAGGGCACCGGTGCCCTTAGATTTTTTCGCAAATTTTCTCACACGCACGTCTCTTGCCGATGATATGTGCTAACCTCTCAGTATCTTCTAACTGTCGCATATAACAAATAAAAATTGACTTTCAGTCGCTAACCTAAATCGAATGCTATCATATCTCATAAATTTATTGGTAATTTGTTCAAATTAATCAACTTTATAACATATCTAGATCTCAAAACGCGCATACTTTGCCTATTTATGATCCCCGATGAAATTGTCCAGTTCAACCAACAATTAGTTTGTGCAACAGTTCCAACCCAATCCAGAATTCATTTTCATCTTGTTCAAACCCATTTTTGTACACGGTCCAAAAAATACATCGACTTATCATAACGACGCTGGATAACTACCCACTTAGAAAAATTGATGTAAATTTATGTGCTCTGAGACTGACCTATACGAGCGTCAATTTTGACATAAAAATGAATCATAATTTCAATTAAACATACTTTCGAACTTTTCAGTCTCGGAGCATTTCATTTAACATGACATAATTGTTTACGTTTCATCCTTTATGTCCAAGATGGATTCCGTCACGTGTAAGATTAGGTATTTCTAAGTGTGGCGAACGGCTTCTCACTGGGAAACGGTTACAACATATATTCCCTCGATGTCTTACTCGATTCTGTTTTACACGACTCGAGAGGTCCCTTTGAATACATATGTTGCAAATCAAATAACGTTCTCACTTTATCAGATGGTCCCTTGATAGGTTTCTAATTAAATATGGATTTCCGCAAACTGTCGTGGTTGTAGAGAATTTTCCGCTGCAGCAACATTTGCAACAACTGACCCATACTGCCTGACTTCTACACAGCTAAAAAAAAGTAGTGTAAATTTCCGTTACTATGATGCACATAAATGGAGCGTCATATATCATACAAATTTAGATTATAGATCGTGTAAATTTATGAGACATGTCATGCAATATCCCATATATTGTATGCAACTGTCCACTTTTGTTTGCAACATTTCTTGCAAGTTGCTAATTTACGTGAAAAGGAAGTTTACATGTATGAATATTTGCATGCATGGATGTTTACATCGCCAGTAAAATTCAGAATTTTTTGGTGTGTAGTTCGATTGTGGTCATCAATCAGGACATCCCTTCATGGGTCTTTTCAAAGTGATCTTGGTTCCGCATTATTAGCTCATTTTGCTCCTTGATTTCAAACTCCAGCTCCGTGAACTAGTGCTCTAAGTAATTCATTTTCGAGAGGAGCACTTCATATCCGAAACTATCACTTTTGATACTGTTGTTTGTGATTTTTTGGAGTAAAAACATCTGCAGGTGTAATTACTTGTGCGTAACGAAACATTATCACTACAATCATAGTTTTGAATTTCGCAGCCATTTCAGACGACGCACAAAGGAGCAAAAAGCGGACCAAAATGCAAAAAAACATGAAAATGTTTAAATTCAAACCTATTTCAGTTTGTCGTGTAAATCATGACGGATAACTTGACAGTTCAATTTGGAGAAAATACTTTGTTTACATCCAGTGCCAATTGTGTGAACAATGCGTATTTAATTAAAAATAGGTGTTCCGAAGGTACATCTGTACAGCAGAGTCATGAAATGATTTCCATAATTCATTTCACGTTTATGCATGTTTGGGCATATCCGATTTTAAAGATTATTTTTATTTCACAAAATGTGAATTTTAATAATAAAGCGAATGAGACATGGAAGTAAACATGAAACCAAATGAAAGATCTTATTTTTTGATTCTGTTAAAAAAAAACTCATCCGAACTCCAGCGTTAGACCGTTTTGAAGTGAAACTAGTGAATCTAACTATTGAAACGCCGTTCGTGTTGTGTCCAGTTCGAATTCAGAGCATCTCCGCTTGCTGAGAGGCTTGCTACCCGTGTACAACCCATCAGGCATACATGAGTGAGACGTAAAGCGAACCCCACACGGTAAGAAATATTGTCAATACTTACAAGTTTTGACAATAATATTGATGATGTGAATACAGAAATATTGTCAATACCGATGTATTGACGTCAATATAAAATGTATTGACAATACGATTATTGTCAATACAAACTGTCGTGTAGGGTTCACTTAAGGATATTAGACATACACAGATAAAAATTCTGAAAATCTTAATTGTGATGTAAACATTCATTAACGTAGACTTGTACTTCATTTCAAGCAACCGAGCAACTTGCAAACAATGTTGTTTACAAAGATGGGCTTTTGTATACAATATTTGCTACATGGCATGAAATGTGTCAGAACTTTACATGATATATAATGTAAACGTACATGATATGTGACGCTCCATTTATGTGCATTAGAGTGTTTCAAAATAGGTCAAATCTGGGACTTCATTCCGTATCGAGCGCTGAGCCAGTTAACAGCGTCCTGGTCTCTTCATACGACACTCGTTTTTTTACCGCGTTTCCATCGCTCTCGTGTTAAAAAAAGTGTTCAGGTGAATCGCGCACGGTTTTCGGAAGCAGCTATCGTAAGCTGAGTCTTACGTATAGACTGTCCATCTTTAACCCAGTGATTGATCATCATAAAATCATCACCATCATCATCGCACCATCTCCGTCAATAGCAGCAATAGTAGCAGCAGCAAACGGAATACCTAGCTGCACCGGCTGATAGGTTGTTTACACAACCGGCACAAGTATAGTACAATACATTTTGCAAGTCCATTGCCTCCCTATTGTAGTTTTGTTTTGCCTCGTGGCGCGTGGCTCTGTCTCTCACCCCTGGTAAGGGTGTATGGTTCATAGTGAGACAACTTGTTGCAACTAGATATAAGTTTTTTTTTTCTCGATTTTTTTTTCTCTTAAATTTGCTTGTACGCCGCAAAACATTTAATTAATAGTAATTGAAATTAATCAATTGGAGAAGGTTTTTATTTTTTTCCTTCTTAAGCGGTTGCGCACCGCTTTTGCGCAACACTTATGGCATCTTCCGATGCCAACGTTGCGCGAACCAGGTATTACCAACCACTTTCGAAAGGACCATGGGTTGTCTTTTTTCGGCCTAAAAATAAACCCTTGAAAACTCTCGATATTTCGAGAGACTTGCTGCGTAAGTATCCGGGAATCTTGGTACATAAGGAGAGATTCAACAAACTGCGTGTAGAAGTACCGAATTATGATGTAGCAAATAAAATTGCTGATCACGAGTTGTTTAGTGTTGAGTACAACATCTACATCCCTTCTCGAGATGTGGAGATAGAAGGCGTGGTATCCGACGCGAGTCTGTCTGTCGAGGACTTGAAACGTGCCTCGGGTTGTTTTAAAAA